CCCGCATCGGGCTCCCTGCTCGGCAGGGAGCCTGCTTCTCCCTCTGACCCTCCTCCCTCTCATGCTCTCTGTCTCTCATTCTCTCTCTCTCAAATAGATAAATAAAATCTTTAAAAAAAATAAATAAATAAAATAAAATAGTCTTTGTGTTGTTCATAGTAACAGGTGATTTTCTTTGGCTGTCTGGTTCTATTGGTTCCATTTTGGCTGTGGCCACTTCCCTGAGGACTCATTACCTTTATGGCTCTCCCTTAAGGTTATGAGCTCCCAAGTAGGTCAGGATGAAATGTTTAGCACCGCTTAATTGATCTACTTAGCTGGGTGGAGACAACCCTTGGAATGTCCAGGCCCAGTTACATGCAATTTCCCAGTAGTTCTGTCCTTGTGGTTCTGGGTAGTTCTCCGGTGGGAACAGCACATGACTGTGGTGTTGATGAAGAGCTATTGATCTTGCTAAAGGATCTTAGCAAGTCTGCTTCATAGACCTAAATTATGAAGTACAAGCAGAAAATGGAATAATACTAAAGAAGAACATGGAATCATCATAAACTATGCACCACATTTTGCTGACTAGCAAATCCAGTAAACAAGGACCTGCAGTGAGACGAGTAAGAGGCACGGAGAGAACCTCGTGCCAGAGGGATGCATGCTAGGTGTGAACATGTGCGTCACTTTGCTGTGATATCTGATGGGGTGAAGATGACGTCCTAGAAATGGCGAGAATATTGGGCAAGCAGCTGACCTCCAGCATGCTGGCTTGGCCATTAACCCACGCAGAAAGCACGTGTGGCAGCCGTCCGGTTCTTCCGCACACCACTGACAGAGCCTTCAAGTGTAGAGGCAGGGCTGAGTATCTGCCACAGGTAAAAATGAAGGCGGACAGAGTCGATGGGTGGGCATCTCACTGGCCTAATAAGGCTCAGCCCAGATCATTCATATCTCATTGGTTTGCACCGAATTACATTTCATGGGAGAATGCTAATTTTTAAAAATAAGGTTTCCTGAGGAAATTAATAATGTGAATGAAAACCAAGTATTGGAGGAATTCCTTGAATCTTTCTACATAAACTACACAAAGCCTCTTATCTAATGACCGTTCATTAGAAATACATCGCAGGGCACCTCCTTTTCAGCTTATTATTTGCCAAATTCCTGATGCTCTTACATGCGTATGAGGAAGTGGGGGGAAATGCTTTCCTGTGGAAACTCTCTCTTAAATCAGGTTGGATTGATTCATTTTTATAATTTTGTTTTCCCAGAGGACCTACCAGTAGGAGAAATAACTTCTTTGGCATTTGTCCCCACTCCATACTCTTAGCCACTGCACACCTCCTGAGGCAAAGACACCTTCAGAGGAACACATTTCAGGCGCCATGTCCGCTTCTACCTTCTCTCTCACACACCCCTTTGCCTCACGGATATTCTTTCCAGATCCCACAGCATGTCAGGAAGGTAACCTCCACCATCCTCTTTCTTTCTTTCTTTTTTTAAAGATTTGTTTATTTTAGAAAGAGCACGAGTGGGGGGAGGGACAAAGGACGAGAAAGAGAGAGAGAGAGAAAAGCATACCCCCCCCCCCCCCACTGAGCGCAGAGCCCACACGGGGCTCAATCTCACGACCCTGAAATCATGACCTGAGCTGAAATCAAGAGTAAGATGCTTAACTGACTGAGCCCCCCAGGGTGCCCCCATCCTCCTTCTAGCTTGTGCCTCCCCACACCCAGATCCATGGCCATCTCCCTTGCATTCTGCTTTTGAGTACTGCATGATACTCATTTACCGTGACGGCATGCCGTAGTCATACAATAGCTTATTCTCAAAATCTGCTTTTGAGGGAAGCTGATGGCAAGTTTAGCAAGCATTAAGACATCATAATGAGATTCTTATATTTTCTATGACTGATAAGAATGATCCCATTGGTAAGGGTGTGTTCCTTTAAAAGCCACTGATGTCATTCAGTGACCGGCTTATATATGAGCGGGAGAGATGTAGTCTTTAAAAGGACAGATAGTCACTCCAGCTTGCCGCTCCATGGTGTGCCTTGATCACCACAAGTTCTCCAAGCAAAATTAATTTTAATTAGCCTTCATAATAAGAGCACTCGGGAGGAACTTGATCATTCAGTCGGGCTTGTATCTATGTATTCAGGCCCAGTGCAGTGGGTACGGTCTCTAGAAAACAAAATTAGGAACTGTATTGTTAATGACAATGTTTGCACTGTAAGAAATAAATTCTTCAGTATTGTCACAGAAATTTCAGTTTCCTGTAACTAGGCCAAAGGTGAAAGAAAGAGGGAAGGGACATTTACTCTTGACTCCAAATACAGTGAATTCTGGATTGTACTTCATTGGAAATGGTGAGTCCCGAGTAGAATGCAAAGAAGGGCTTATCTCCAACTTAGCAAACTTTCCTCTCAGTCACAATTTCTATTTCCCTGAGGAATGTGTCTTGACTCTCAGATATGATTCATCCTTTAGGGACAAAGTAGAAACCTTTTCTTCCCTCAAGGATCACGACCAAAGCAAATCTTGGCATTCCCAAAGAAAGGGTGTTTAATCTCCTGCTTGTCTCAAGTAGGTGCTTGTTCCCAGCCAGTAATGGAATTTAAATTCTTCATGCCCGGGCTGCTGAAAGTCTGCTTGTTGAAAAGTTGGCAACATTGAAAACGCTGAAAAATAATGTCTAACTGGCATGTGTTTATGGAAATTCGAATAATGCAAGAAGTTTCATGATGGCGGTTGAGTGCCAGGCTTCCAGATTGTCTCGGTGGATTGGGTGCCCTGACGGTCTCCACCCTAGGGGAAGGAAGAGAGAGCGCTTAGATTGAGCTGGAAGGGGAAAGGAGCCGTTTCACAAAGCAACTGATGTTTGATTCCTTTGAAACTTAGTATAAAAAGAGAGCCCCAAATAGAACACCGAGTTGCCCCGAGGAAGGCAAGGCTCAGCTTCCCAGGCCAGCAGAAGCTGGAGCTCAGGGGGTGCCTCCCCGTCCGTGGCCTTGGGAGGACTTGCTCACGTGGCTAATCGGTCTGAGAAAGTGAAGGTTTCGAGTTGAGTGCTATGTAATTTCTTAATCTGGTGTTTGCTTATTTAATCCTCCAGTTGACACATCTTATTTGCTTTGTCATGGTTCTAATTCTGTGAGTGTTTGTGCAGAGAAACAGATCTCTGTTTTTATTTTGTTTCTCTGCCTACACACACTCACGCAAACACGCATGCATGCGGAGGGACGTATTATGTATCCGGAGGATTAAGAAAAATTCTAACACGTTGCACTAAGAAATGTTAAAATCTGTAACTGGATATTGACTGACCTTTCTAAGAAAAATTCGACAGGAATTAACATGAACAGATGTTCTCTCCCAGCAGAGAGCATGAGACCGTTAGTCACTAGCCGAGAATGAAGCGCTACATGGGACTCCAAGCCAAGGTGTATTTATAGGTGTGATGATTGAAGGAGCTGTATGTCACGGTTGCTAGGGGACAACTTAGGTTACAACTGATCCCTTTTCTGTGAAAGCTTATCAGTATGGGATGTTGACATAGTTAACTTTCTGAAAACTATTGTTTGGTTTCTATTTCCAACTCCTATAAATAAAAATAAAAACAAACAGTGTGACATAAGGTATATTCTCTGAGGGTAGGGATAGTATGACAGACTCCTAAACCTCTTTGGAAATGAGCATTGTAATAGGACTTCCTGGAGATACGGAAAATCTGAAAAGTGATTAGAAATGTGCATGCGTGCATGTGTGTGTGTGTGTGTGTGTGTGTGTGTTTGAGAGGAAACAATATCTGAACATGTTTTCCAGTGAATTGAGGTTGCCTGACAAAAACAGAACGGGACTCCTTCTTCTCTATCCCTGTGAAAGTGGGACATTCGTTGATCTTTGCCTTCTGGCCCACTCGACTTGGCGGGGGCCCTGTCCTGTTCTCCGTGGGTGTCACAAATGCTCTCTCGTCCTGTGAGGGTCATGTCTGCAGAAGGTGCTCGAGGATTCGGGGATCCCCCATGGAGAAGTCAAACGTTAGGACCCAAGTTTTGCCAGAAGGAATTCCACACAAAATACTGACTACCAGTTCAGAATGCTTCTTGGAATAAATGAGACGTATTTACCGTAATTGCCTAACTTTGAAGGCAGTTTAACTCTCCGTTTGCAAGAAGAAAAAAATTGAAACTATTCCATACAAATGAAAGTTGGTCTCCAAATTTTCAGGGCTTTTTGTCTGTTATTTTGTATATGTTTATACTTCGAAATGAATACATGCTAACTATTGCTGATCTGTAATGGGACAGAAACATTCAGGTAAGTCAACAAAAATTATGCATGGTGTCACTAAATATCCACTGCTCACTCCTTCTGATACTTTCCTCCTTTAATATCCTTTGTCGCTTGCACTTATTCAGTATTTTATTGCCTCATAGATATCAAGCTCTGTCAGCTGCTGAAGACAGAGCTGTCTGTGCCCCTGAATTCCTTTATGGAATTTAAAGTCTAATGGGGAAGTCAGCATGACAGACAGAAATTAACGACAATTGATAATTGCTACAAAAGAAAATGAGAAGATGCCGGTGGCTGTCAGCAACAGCTCCTTCTCACCCTGCTTTCTCATGGGTAAACTGGAGGTGCTCCAGGCATGCCTTGCAGGTGTGGTGCTCATGGGGGGCGGGGTGGGGCTCCAGTGGCGAGGACTCGGTGAGAAAATGCACAGAGTGCTTAACACTGAGTGTCCGCGCAGGAATGCTCCTCCAGCAGGAACTACGGTCATGACTGTCATTGCCGCATGCGGTGGGGTCACCGTGTGGAGCCTGCCTTAGAGACAGCCGGGGTCGTGGAGACAGAAGACAGGCTTCTGAACTCCTTGGTCCTCCGTTGCACCTGGGAACCAGAGCTGCTTTTTGGAATGTTTATTTCTGTTGCTTGGCGTTGAGGGATTCCATAATCCTTCCCTTGTTACCGCTCCACTGTGTTCTCCTGCTCATCTCTGAAGTGACCCCTGTGTTCCAATCCAGAGTCTTCTTCCTGTATCTCACCGCGCATGATGAGCGTTCGCAGTCCTACTTGGTATAGCCCTGTTCCATCGCGACCTTGAGCAAGGACCTCCATTTCCTCTTCTGTAAGACAGGAATGATATGTAGCACCTCACACATAGGGGGACCGTAAGGACTGAATAGGATCGTAAGCTTACAGCAGGTGGAACAGCACTTCGCCCCTGCTGTTAGCGAGGACTCTTATTTCATGTTCCGTATTACCCCCCTTCACTTGAATGACTACTCAGCTGCCTTGACGGGAATTATTCACCCTGTTTGCATCTCTCCATTTTACTGAACATTGTCACCTGAATAAAACTATGTCATACTTGGGCGCCTGGGTGGCTCAGTTGGTTGGGTGTCTGCCTTCAGCTTGGGTGATGATCCCAGCGTCCAGGGATCGAGTCCCGAGTTGGGCTCTCTGCTCAGCGGGGAGTCTGCATCTCCCTCTGCCCCTCCCCCTGCTCGTGATCGCTCTCACTCTCTCTCACAAAAATAAATAAAAAATCTTAAAAAAAACCTGTCATACTGAACTCTGTAATCTTATTCCATAACTCTTTTTAAATAGTTGTTTCTGCCTCATAATTTAAAATATACTTCTCCACTGCACCTACTGAAAAATATAGTACTTTATGTTGTGTTGGAAATGCCAGAAGCCAAACTGAAGTTGGCTTCCACAAAGGGATGTCCATGGATGGCATCTAAAGCTCCAGAAATATGCAAAAAGATTGGAGTTTGGATATATTTTAAAACTCTGGGTTTTTTTTTTTTTGGTTTAGAAAAATAACTTTCAGTTATAAAAAATACTTTTTGACTTAAGTTCCCGAGTATATGCTAAAAAGATCCGTTGTCCTGTAAAGCATTACAATAATGTAAAGGCAGTCTTGGCTTCTCCTTGCACATCCAGTCCCCAACTTTGTTTTAAGTTCTGTTTTTTCCGCAATAGCCCTAGATACAAGTACATGTCATTTTATAAAGTTGAGTTTCATGTACCACGAGTGTGTGTGTGTCATTATTTTGGGGTCACGTGTAAACCTTCACATACTGGTGGAGGCATCGCTAAAAACCTGGAGCCAGGAAGGGTACCTGACAGCAAGTTCTCTGTACTCGGTGCGGGTTTATTGACATGAACGGAAGGGAAATGGTACAGAGAGAGGTTTTTTGTTTTTTGTTTTTTTTAAGATTTTTTTATTTATTTGAGACACAGAGATACAGAGAGAGAGAGAGCATGAGCAGGGGGAGAGGCAGAGGCAGAGGGAGAAGCAGGCTCCCCGCCGAGCAAGGAGCCCGATGCAGGTTTGATCCCAGGACCCCGGGATCATGACCTGAGCCAAAGGCAGATGCTTAACCATCTGAGCCACCCAGGCGCCCCTGGAGAGAGGTTTTTTGTGCTCTGCCAAGATTCATTTGTTCAGCCTGATATTTTCTAGTGCTCAAAGACTCTTTGGGCAAAGGAGATGAAGCAGGCAGCTAGCACATGCTCTTACTGAATTACAGTCTATTTTTAAAGAGCACGGGAGTGTCCCCATTTCTTGGTCTTACAGAACCCCCTAATGGAGGAGGCTGTGTGCTGCGTTCTGAAACTAAAGTGCCTTCAAATTTCATCTCTGTGGCCACTAAACTGTATAGACAAATTTGACTTTTAATATAAAATTTAGACATGATTTATTAATATGGCTTTTTTTTTTAAGGAAAAAGTTACACAATAATTTTAAAGCCAGCCGCGAAAGTAACATAAAATCATTCAGACCCCAGTTTGAACGTGTGAGTTCCTTGGTTCTTAACAAAACTCCCCACTCTATATTCCTACAAATGACACAGCGAGATTGCTTTAAATCAGATTGATCCTTTTGGAGCTTGCTTTTAAGACTTTGGCGATCAAAGCAGCATTTAGTCGAGGACTAATTATTCTCCTACTAAGGCAAGACCCTTCTGAGAATTCTGTCCAATGTCTGTGAATTCTGAGGTTTTCCAGTCTGGTTGGTGAGACCAGGCATCATTCTCAGCCCTGCGTGAGTGCAGGACTCCTCCCCGTCATCCCTTCTGCTGGCTTGTTCCTGGCCCCCAGGTCCCTCATGCACTTTTACCTTGGCCCTCGGCTGAAGACCCAGACCCCAGCACATGGCCAGTGGTCTCTCTGCAGGCCCAACTGCTCCCACACTCTGTCCTGCCATCTCCAGCCTCTTTGGTCTTCAGTTTGAACCCTGAGTTTTGTCTCCTCAGCTCAGGCAGTCCCTGGATGCGCTGGGTTGCCCTTCCCTACTCTGTGGCCTGGAAACTCAAGGCCACTGGACGATCATAGGACTCACCACCTTTCAGAGATCAACATCCTTCCTTCGGGCCCAGGATCTTGAAAATCATTGTTTCCTATATTTTGTCTTCCTTCCTTTCCTTTTTTATTTATTTTTGTGAGAGAGAGTGAGAGCAAGCACGAGCAGGGGGAGGGGCAGAGGGAGATGCACACTCCCCGCTGAGCGGAGAGCCCCTCGGGACTCGATCCCTGGACACTGGGATCATCACCCAAGCTGAAGGCAGACACCATTCCTTCCATTCCTGCCATTCCTCTCTCCCTCCCTCCCTTCCTTCCTTCCTTCCTTCCTTCCATTGTTGTTGTTTTCAATGGGAGGGCAGATTGGATCCCCCATATATCATCTTGCCTAAAGCCAATTCTCCTCTTGTCTCTGTTTTGAACCAGGAATTCTATGTAACTTTCTCATGGGGTGTTTCTTGCAGTGACTCTGGGTAAAAAAAAATACCTGCCTCAGAATCACTTGGGACGGTCATTAAAAATGCAGGTTTCTGAGCTTTACCCCAGACCTGTTCCATCAGAATCTCTGGAGTGAGGTCCAGAAGGCTGCTGTTTAGGGCGCCTGGGTGACTCAGTTTGTTGGGCGACTGCCTTCGGCTCAGGTCATGATCCCGGAGTTCCGGGATCAAGTCCCGCATCAGGCTCCCTGCTCAGTGAGGAGCCTGCTTCTCCCTCTGACCCTCCCCCCTCTCATGTACTCTCTCTCTCTCTCTCTCATTCTTGCTCTCTCAAATAAATAAATAAATCTTAAAAATTAAATTAAATTAAAAAAAAAAAAAGAAGAAGGCTGCTGTTTAAACAGTGCCCGGGGTGGGGGGGTGTCACACACACTCAATTTGGGAACAGCCTAAAGGGCTTCATTTGGCCACATCACCTAATGTGTATACTTAATTGTATTCTAATAGGGATATGGAGGCAGAAGAAGGGATGTTGGTTTCCAATTCCACTAGGAAGCCTCAGCTCCCTTCTGTGATGAAGTGAGGCTGCTTGTCTAAGGAGCCATCCTCCTCATTTTTATTCCCCTTGGACTGTCACAGGCAGGTGAAACCATAAATTCCTCAGCTGCTGAAAAAGCACTTCATTGAGCTCAGGGTTCTTTGGTAAATAATTGCTTACCTTGACCATGCAGAGTGTCCTTTGCTAAAAATCTGTCCCTTAGTTTTTGTTGAGAAGATGATGGTAACAAAATGGAATCTGCCAAGGCCTTTAGTTTCGAGAGCTTTTTTGGAAAGCGCTGCATGTCTGCAGATCCTTGGGCAAAGCCCATTTGAAAGCCACAAGGGGGCAGGGAGTTGTGAACTTGAACTGGATTCACCAAGAGTGTGGGAAGTTGGGGATAACAGTCATGAGGGAGGGACTTTTAACTGGTCCTTATCTTGTGGCTGGAGTGTGCAGAGGTTGAGTCCTTAATGAGGGCATGCGTGACAGAGAAAGCTGGAACGGGGGAGGGGGTGAGGGGGAAGGACCGAAGATCCTTACTGGAAAATGCAGTTTTCTCTCTGAAACTAAAGAAGAAAGAGATAAACCCTGGAATATTATACTGAAGCCATTGGTAATTTTCTCCCTTGGATGAGCTTCAATCACAGAAGACTTAGACTCTTTGGTTAAGAACTCAGTGAAGCTTCAAACTGTTTTTAAGCCTCCTTTTATGTTAGTTGGGCCTTACATTGCCTGTTGATCAGGGCCAAGGATGGTGGGAAGATAGCCACACACCATGTAAAAGATCTGTCTCCCCAGCATCATCCAATATTCACAGGAGATCCTTTCTCTGGTTATGTGTTCTTCAGACAAGGCTCTCCAGGAAAACCTAGAGTTTCATGACAGAGCAACTGTGTGTGTATGTGTACGTCATCTGTATTAAAACATCAACCAGACACCAAGCATGAATCTTAGTTTCCGCTGAGTGTTTAGATTCTGCCCACGAAGCACTCTCTTGTTCTTGGAAAGGGTGGGTACTAACTGATGCCATGTTGGTATTGGTCAGTCACACCTCAATCCTCCTGACTCTGGAAAGGAGTGAGAAGGAACATGGAATGTTCTTCCTTATCGTAAATTATATGTAGACTCTTCAAAAGAGGTCATTGAATTTATCCATTCTTTGAAGAGGGCACATGTTTTAAACAAAGAGAACGGCTGGAAACCAGGACTCTTGGCCTCAGGTCTTGGCTGTGCCCTGAACTAGCTCAAAAAACTTGGGTTTCACTTTCCTCACGTACAACTTCTGAAAAGTTGACATCAAATGTCCTATTTCATTCTGAATTATACAACTATATTAGATGTTATTCAATTATATGTTATACACCTATGTTACCTGAATTGAAATGTGATGACATGATATACATTAATGGTAGACTGTATACAATGGAAGACTGTAGAAATGTATGTCCCGGTGGGACTCAGAATTACTTGCTGGGCAGTTTAAAACTATTATGAAACTCCCAGAGAGTGACTCTTCTGAATCCATGTTTCATGTATTTTTTAAAGATGTATTTATTTATTTGAGAGAGAGAGCATGCATGCACACATGTGCGAGAGCATGAGCAGGGGGGCAGAGAGAGAGAGGGAGTCTCAAGTGGACTCACGCTGAGTGCAGGGTTTGTCGCAGGGCTTGAACTCAGGACCCTGAGATCATGACCTGAGCTGAAACCAAGAGTCCAATGCTTAACTGACTAAGCCACCCAGGTGCCCCAGATCCATGTTTCATTTGAAGTGTAGAGTGGGATCTCTTCTTTGCTTTTGATTTGAATTTTTTTTTAGCTGTACATATTTCCTTTAAATTTTATTCAGCACAATCTATACATTTTTTTCTCATTTACTATGTTTTTAAACATTTACTATTCTTTCCAAAACCCATCTGGTTAGATAATATTTTCATGTTTTACACAACGGAGTCCTCATTTCTGTTTGTGACTGTAACAATAATTCAAATATCAATTAGATTTATTTAAGGTTATTGTGTTAATATAAGTAACCATGGAATTTATTGTCCTACGATACTGTCACATAAGGGCCTTTTCCAAAGGGGAGGAATTTAATATAAATAAGAGTGTCCTTGTAGGCCATGGAAAATATTCACCCATTGAATATTCTCGTTTCTCCTTCCCACCAAGCGGTGGTGTCTATAGACACAGGGACAGTGCTACAGGCATTCAGTTTGTGCTGGTTGGAAATAACACTAGGAAACACACTGAGTATAATGTGAGACACAAAGGGGGAACTGGGTAACTTTTTATTGCATAAATGAATAAGGATGGATGGATGCTGAGGTTTCTTCATATCCACTTGAATCCCACTATGAAAATAGGTAAGATCCTTAAATGTGAAACGAGATTTTTAGTTAATTCATTGTGATATGTATTAAGCACCTTAAACTGTATGAAGACTTCACCATGACATTATCTCTGTAGAGATAAGTTAGGTAATTTTAGATAATTTAGTATTAGAGTAGGCTCCTTTCTGATTTTAGGGTATTTACTTACTAGAATAGTAAATATGTATACAAATGTTGTGTCACTTCTGAGATAGGAATCCTAAAGGTAGTATTAGAACAAGGTTTCAGCATCTATAAGGTACAGCTTACTCAGAAACTATGTTTCATGGCTCTAGCTAGCAGAAATACTGTTTGCTTCACAAATAAATAAACTGAGGCAAAAACTTAAGTAACATTTATATATAGAATGTGAAGTGAGATATACTCATGTAAAACTGTTACTAAATAAAAAGCATGATTATATGTTTAAGTATCAAGAAATTTTTTTAATTTAATTTTTTTAAAAAGATTTAATTTATTCGAGAGAGAGAGAGAGCATGAGCAGGGGGAGGGGCAGAAGAAGAGGGAGAAGCAGGTTCCCCACTGAGCAGGGAGTCCCACACAGGCCTCGATCCCAGGACCCCAGGATCATGACCTGAGCCGAAGGCAGATGCTTAACTGACTGAGCCACCCAGGCGCCCCTCAGTAAATTTTTAAATAAAGGCCGTGTGTGTGTGTGTGTGTGTAGCTTTAAGAACACTAATAAGTCAATTTGCGTGTATCCATCATCTAAGTTAAGAAATAAAACATGACCAGTACTCAAGAAGCCTCGCTGTAACATGCCTTGCTGGCCGTACTCCCTACATACCCCCACACCATCCCTGCCTTAGGTAACCCTTTTCCTGAATCTTGGGTGTTTTCTTTTGTTTTGTTTTTAAATCATTTCTTTGCTTAAATAATCTGTTGGCTTAGCATGACTTTGAGCTTTATATTAATGAAATCATAGTGTATGTATTCTGTGATTTTTTTTCTCAGTATTCTGATTCTGAGGTTTACATACAAACATGGAGTCCATTCATTTCCATTGCTATTTCATCTTTCATTGCCTGAACACAACGCACTTTATCTGTTCATTATCCTGATGAAAATACTCTTAAATTTGTTTCAAAATATGAAATGTTCATTCATTCCATTTGAATCATTAAAAGAATGATAAACCATTCCATAATACATTTTTCATTGATTTTTGCTAGAATTGTATTTGCCAGACAGTTCAACCAAATCCTTAAATACTACTCAATATGCACAGAGAGCAGGAATTAAAATCTGTATTGCTGTCAACTGTATGGTCCCAGTAAATGGAACAGTGGCCTAGCCTATCCTAGCCAGTTTGCAATAAGTTATTCTCAGAAAGGAGGCCACAGGGCACCTGGGTGGCTCAGTCGGTGAAGCATCTGCCTTCGGCTCAGGACATGGTCCTGGGGTCCATGGATGGAGCCCTACGTCCAGCTTCCTGCTCAGTGGGGAGTCTGCTTCTCCCTCTCCCCATCTCTCCCCCCCCCAACTTGTGCGCTCTTTCTCTCTCTCTTTCAAATAAATAAATAAAACCTTTAAAGAAAAAAGGAGATCACAGTTTAATAATCTTACTATTTCCTTTGCCACTTGTAGTTTTTGCCCTCCTGTACAGAATATTTTCCCATTAAGCAGACCTATTGGCAAGATTTTGTTACAGAAAGTGGCTTCCTAGCCATGCACTTAGTGTTTCCTTTAATAGGTCTGGAATCGTTCATAAGGTATGCAAAGCTAGTGCTCAATTTGGTCACCAATGGAAACAGGCTTGCTCCGTGATTCAAGAGAGGGGTAGAGTTAATGGATACATAAACTACTCCCCAACTGCTAAACGTCGCCAAAAGTTCATTTCTTATGATAGTCAGGAAATCATTTGGCAAGTGTCTACCTCATGGAAAGCATAAACCTGGAGAACTGGTAACTCAGTGACTCTCTGGTAGAGCATTATTTGACTCAGAATAAAGGGAAAGGAAAGTGAAATCGCTTTTTTTTTTCTTTTTTAATGCTATTGCATTCATTTAAATATAACTTAAAATTATATTAAAAAAGGAAATATTATCTAATCTACAAATTGTCTTAGTGTTCAACGTATATTAAAAAGAAATAGGGGTTGGGGCGCCTGGGTGGCTCAGTTGGTTAAGCGACTGCCTTCGGCTCAGGTCATGATCTCAGGGTCATGGGATCTAGCCCCGTGTCAAGCCCCATGACGGGCTCCAGGCTTATGGAGTCTGCTTGGGATTCTCTCTCTCCCTCTCTGTTTGCCCTTCCCTACACCCCCCACCACATGCTCCCTCAAATCAATTAAAATTTGATTAAATTTCCTTTTTAAATATTATTTTAAGTTATATTTAAATCCTTAAAAAAAATAGAATCCACATATACACAGTCTCTGGGGAGCTGAGCACCAAAGGGCCAAAGTAGCTTTGATTTGTGTTAGGACTACTGGATTTGAATCCAGAGATCATCTTACTCTGATTCCCTTGCAGTTGTAGCTCCGATGATAGTTCACTAATAATCTTTGTCTTCTACTAGAAACATCCATTTATTGCCATATCCTTAGCTCTATGGCAGTGCCTTCCACGTGGTAGGCACTAAAAATTATCTATTAAATGAAAGAATTTGGGGGCCCTTGATAGAGCTTGTTTGAACTGGTATATTGCTGTGATGAGTTAGTATTGCAAGAGTGGGATTTGAACTCGATGTCATTGTGATTTTAGGGGAATGCCCTGTGTTTGCATGTCTTCTTCCTGGAGAGATGGTTAGTGGTTTTCGCTTATTGAGGTTCCTGTGGGAAAATGAGGTCAGGGACACAGGGCACATGCATAACAAATGCATCACATTCAACACGTGGAGGAAGGTATAGTAGAAAAATACAAGGTATTTTGAGACCCTGTTGAGTTTAACAGTTTCTATTGAGTTGACGGACTATAATATATATTGAGAAGGCATTGTCATTGACGATGATGACGATGATTAGAAGATCAATGCCAAGGTTTCTCTAAAAACACTGTGGCTTCCCTATCCTTAAGGTTTTAAACGTTTCTAAAAAGTCCCTCCAGACCCGGTATGATTAGGTCCTGTCCCACCTTCCAAGCTTCCTGCAGCATTACTCCTCTGGCTGACTTTGCCTCTGCTGGAGCCACACGTGGGGCTCTGTAGAATAGTGCTGGTAGCTCCTTCTGGCTCCAGGCCCTCTGCCTATGTTGTACACTGTTCTATTTGGAACTCTTCCAAGCCCTCGTGATAGACTGCTAATCCAGATTTTGGCATAAAAGTAACTTCTTCAGAGACGTCTCAAAGGCCCCACCCTATACTTCACCCTCTTTCTTTAATTGTAATGGGATAGTTGTGCAGCAAATTGCTTAGCCTGTATCTCTTCTCTTGGCACGAGCTTCATTAGGCAGGTATCGGGCTTGTTCACCTCTGAATTCACAGGGCTTCTCCAGAGAGTGTGGCCAAGAGCAGGTGCTCAATAAATATTTGCTAAAGCAGTGAATGTTGAAGGAATCATCAAAAGTGCAGCTAAAATTTTTTGTTTTCTTTTTCTCTCTTTAGCTGGGAAGTTATCAATTCCAAACCAGATGAAAGATCCAGGTTCAGCCACTGTATTGCAGAATCATGGATGAATTTCAGCATATTTCTTCAAGAAATGTCTCTTTTTAAACAGCAGAGCCCTGGCAAGGCAAGTTTTCCAGCATAGGAGAATTACCGTGCGTGCTTTAGAACGTGCAATAAATTGGAAACAAATGAATTAACCTATTTTATCAGCTTATAAGGGTTCTCCAGTCCTGGATATAATATACTAGGAGCAAATGCCATAAAAGCTGGTATTAGTGAGGTTCAGAAATGTGAGGGTGTTAGCACTAGAAGATCCTCAAACTTATATTTCAAGATTGGATGGGTTCTCTATTTTATACATGTTTATCTAACTCATTAACAAAAATGGTGACTGGTCTTGCTATCAGCCAGACCAAGGAGAAAAAAAATACCTTATGAAGAATCTCAGTTTAAAAACAGACACATACATGCAGAGAACAGACTGGTGGTTTCCAGAGAGAAGAGTGGCAGGGCAGTGGGCAAAACAGGGGAAAGGGATTAAGAAGTACAAACTTCCAGTTATGAAAGTCACCACTATGTTGTACACCGGAAACTAATATAACATTATAGGTCAACTACACGTCAATTTAAAAAATAAGTAAGTCACAGGGATGTAAAGTACAGCATAAGGAATGTCGTCAATAATATCATGTTAAGTATGTAGGTGATAGATAGTAACTAGACTTGTCATTATCCGTAATGTATGTAAATGTTGACTCGCTGTGTTGTACACCGAAAACTCATAACCTTGTATGTCAATTACAATTCAATAAAAAAAGAATTTGTTTCTATTACTTAGGCTGTTTCCGAAGTCAAAGGGAGATGAAATGAACATACAGTCCTTTGAGGGTGCTTTTGGAGATAATAGAGTCGGTCTAAAAAGTAGAGATTCCTATATCATCTATCTAGTAAAGAAAACCTTTGGCAAAGACACTCATAGTCTCTATATAAATGGAATGTGTATTTTTCCAATTAAGATGAAAACCCCTGAGGAGAAGGGTCGCAAGTGGTCTGAAAGGGATTGCACAGTGCACAGCCTTGGAGTACTTGGATGTGTAGAGGTGGCTTCAGCTGTGATTGTGAGAATGTGGGTTCAAGGGTGGAGCCATCACCAGTGTTGTGTTCAAGTTCCTTGAACCTCCACCTGTAGTTGGAAGGGCCTAGGAATGTCGATACTGAAAATCCCTCTGGCTGCACCATGTACAGGCCATCGCTTAACTCCAGTAGTATTGATAATAGAACTGTGCTTGGACACATTTTGAGCATATTAAAGTGGCAACGTTGTATATGTGTGGATTTTTTTTTTAATCCCCGAAGGTAATTCTTAGCATAGATACCCATATGGTGGAGAGGGAGAGTTGCATTTTTGATGCCTATTTTACTGAAATGATTAAACACATTTTTAGAAGATTCTGAACTTAAAACTTCTGCATTGGACTGCATTAATGTAGTCCAAGTCAACTGGCTTAAGATGATGTTACAGATTTAGTGGATAATATGAAATCTCTTTGTGAAACTGAATTCCGGACACGGTAATGCTTTCCTACACTTACTCTTTCAACGCTTATGGTCTTTCCTCTTCCATTTTGCTATTCGAATTGCATATTCTTTAAGGGCCTCTGCTGTTTCAGAAACAGCTCTTAAGTTTGTTCTGTAAGTTCATCTGTTCTCCTTTTGACTAGTTAACTTATTAACCCTGTGCCAAAGAATGGAAAATCAAAGTTCATCTGACAGTGTTAATCAGTTACTGATCAGAGTTATGTATTCTTTCCTCATGTCTTTTTGAAATTCCCTTAATGAATTTTCTTTGCTTGCCAATTTAATACATAATTTAAAGATAAATCAAAAGAAGAAAAATAGTTTATTTTTAAGACTAGGATGTGGAAAACAAGTGAAGGCTTTATGGGAGATTTTTTTGTCATGATGTTTAAATTTCTTGAAACCACCAAGATTTTTTTGGTCATAACTGACAGAAGGAAAATAAGCACATTTCACTGTAGGAATTTCATTTCATTCCCATTTGGTTCCTAAGTGACCTAGAAGTGAGGTCAATTTGAGGGATGGATATGGTTAGGAAGGAGGATGGTAATGGCCAATGGATTCATCCCAGCAGTTTATCAGCTGTGCAAATTGCCATTCTATTTATATAAATGCCTCTAATTTCTGCTTTGCTGTGTTTATGAATTTTGATGTGTTTATAGAAGTAGTTTGAACTTGCAGGTTTATTGACCAGGCTGCATTATTTTCAGTGACTGACACTGAGGAAAAGAAGTTTCTGGGGACATACTAGTCTTCAGTTCTCTTGCATCTGACAGTAATATAGCCACAGGCATGATTAATGGGAGATGTTCTCTGTGCCAGAAATTAGCTTCTGGAACCTCACAATGATTATTACTAAGTGTTAGAGTGGACTAAGGCTGGCTGAACACAGCAGTCATCAGGCAGACCCAAATACAAAAGAACACTGAAAAACATTTGCCATAACGTGATAGATCACATATAGATAAATAATTGTCTGTGTATCCTGTGCCTGAAAATGTCTTGGAGTTATATATAATGTCACATCTTGTTTCTGTTATCTCTAGTTTTGTCTCCTGGTCTGCAGTGTGTGCACATTTTTTACAGTCTTGGGAAGTTACATTCCTGGAGTTATACTCAGCTATCTACTGTGTAAGTATGGTAGAACATTTGGCTAATTTATGTGATGCATATGGTATCATTTAATGGTCAACATGGCCTTCCATAGTTTGGAAGAGGAGGGATGGGTCCTTAACTATACAGCATATTGGTTATCCTTTAATTTCCTGCTGTACAAAGTTTCTCCTTTTCCTAGAGACATGTTTATATTTTAAAGTTGGAGGAACGGCTGCCAAAAGGCAGGGTTGGTTATAAGTGATTTGATTTGATTTTAAATTATGTCAGTAAAACCATAAGTAAGCTATATTTCCCATCCCCCACAAACACACTAATCCCTTTGCCCTTGTGTATGTTCTGTGGCTCAAAAAATAATTAAAACCACAATGTCATACCATTACACCCCCACCAGAATGAATAAAATTTAAAATA